AACAGAAAAAGACCACCTTGTTCACGAGAGTATTAAACCGTAAGATTGGATGACATGTGGCTGTGACTGGTAACCTTGGGGAATGGCATAATGACGTTTTAAACACGATTCCACAAATATTTTACCAATCAAGAAAATTCTCGGAATAAAAAGACGAAAAAGTTAAATTTACATTTTTACTGACAATAATACAAAGGAAATTGTATTAAGTAGAAAAGTGAATTTTAGTAGATTATTTACAAAATCAATAGCTGACAAATATTTTTTTTTTACAAATACTTTGATATTATTAAATTATATGATAATACCACTTTCAATTTTAAATAAATAGTAATATTTTTTAGTAATGATAGTTATGTTGTAAATAAACTTGTACTATACTAGAATTTATTTTATAATATTATAAAATGTCAAATTATTATTAAAAGAATACTGGAAAATAAGCTAAATATTTATAACAAGTATTAAAAGTATTTTCAATAAATTTTAATTATTTCCTATTTTGTAATAATTGGTTTAGTTATTGATACTTCTTCTTATAATAAATTAAATACCATATAAAATATTTTAAATACTCTAATATGTATTTTAACATTCCGCAAATTTTAAAATTTTCTACAGTTTAATTAATTTTTTTCACTATTTGCGATTCCGTGATGGTTACCAGTCGGGTTCTATTTTTTTATAACTACAGTTTAAGATTTTAGTTATTCCATTATTGTGTACTTTATATCTCCATCTAGCTATCAATTTCTTTATATATATATATATATATATATAAATCTCTCATCAACTCGGAAACAAAACAAGTATATAAGCGTGAACTCTTAAAGAATATAAGATAATAGAGATCACCATCCAATAAACTTGAAATACAATTCATCATATATTCCTCAAAGAGTTCAAGATTTATCATTCTTACTTCTTAACCTCCAGGCTTCAGTGATCTTTCTTTTTCTTTTCTTTTGAACATCCAGTGATCTTACAGCCATGTGAAAAGGTAATTCTAAGAAACATGTGAAAAAGTTAAATGGATGTATTTTATACAGGAAAGTTTTATAAACATTTTTGGAGGGCATTCTATTTTTGTTATGATCTTCATTTTTCTTCTCTTCCATTTTATAATATTTTTGCTAAAAAAAATTTAAGAGTATAAGAATTATATTTCTTTTTGTTTTCTACATTAGAAAAATGATCAACCAATAAAACCCAGAACCCAAATAGCCATATGAAAAATTGTAATAACTAATAAAATGGAAAAGCTTCTTAAACATCTTATTGATTAAACATCATCCAAATAAAATGGCACAAAGAAATCATGGATTACGATAAAGGTGTGTTTTTAAAAAAAAATGACAAAAGACATAAAAATCATTAATGTACTCTCAAGGTTTGGCAAAAGATGGAAACAAGATTTGTCAATTAAACACATTGGGAATATGTTAAAACGTATTTCAAATGCCTAAGAATCAGTGACCAGTTACCTCACACGTGTATAATGAACTTTAGAAGTATCAGTTTCCTAACTACGAAAGATAAGTTTTCAAGAAATGTACTCTTATAGGAATGAGAGTATGCCAAATAAAGTATGAATTCTCAACAACATTCTCTCAAGTTTCTTAGTTTACCGATTGATATTAAAACAATGTCAAAATTACATAATTAATATCTAAAGTTTAGATTATACAAAACCAGTAAAAAAACCCTATAAGGCTACACTTGGGAATGTTTGAGGAGTACATATTTTCCAACACTTGGGAACACAGAGTAATGCTACTATAGGAATTCTTGATTAAATCCTTGTTTTTGTCTCAAATATATACCACTAAGTTCAGACAACATGCATTAAGTCGATGGCTCGTAGCACATATACTAAAATTAACGTTAGTGATGATGTTGATTTCAAACCAATTAGAACATTATGTCTGGAGGTCTGGAGGCTATTTAATCTTCAAGTAACACAAAACAGACTATCGACACCAGAGCCGCGGCCCTGAAAAATTGGGGGCTTGAAATAAAATAAAAAATGAGGGCTTATATATTATATATAAAAATATAATAAAAATTTATAAAATAGTAAAATAAGGATAGTGAAAGGGAAACAATTTTTTTATATTTATAGGTGATCTTCTGAAGAAAAAAAACATAATAAGTATTTTTTAGAAAAAAAGTTAATCAAATTTTTTAGTTTTATAGATTTTTATTTGAAACTTTATTGCGTCATTATGTTATTTGACCCAATCAATTAAACATTTAATAAAATCATAATGTATCTAAGCTCATATGATTTATTTTCTGTATGATTTATTTTCTATATTTATGAGTTTATATATTTGGATTTGTATTTTATTTGGAGATCTATATAAAATGGGAGCTTGCGGCCAATGTTTCATTGGGTTTGGCTCAGGCCTGCCCTGGTCGACACCGATCGGAATCTGTCATTTTACTATGTTTTTCGTAAATAAGTCAAGTTAGTGGACAAGGATCCAAGAACCAGCTCCTTTTCTTCAGTTTATGAACCCAAATTATGTCAGCATCGGGCATTTGGTCTAATGTTATGTAACATGTTACTCGCTTCTGGTAAGAGGGATCCTGTTCGGAATGTCTCGCTGACTTTATGAACGTTAGATAGTCAGAATGCACTTTTTGAGATGCGTCCATCGCATTTGGGCAGAGAAAATCGTATGTCAGTCTTATACAATTACTCTTAACATTCCAAATGAAAGATTAACCACAGAACAATCTTATACGATGAAGAACATAAACTAATAATAAGAAAAATTAAGATTTCCCCTCTACTTAATCGCACGTCAAAAGGGCATTTGCTCTAGTGGTATGACTCTTGCTTAGGGTGCGAGAGGTCCCGAGTTCAATTCTCGGAATGCCCCATTCTTCTGAAGACCAACCAATGAACATGCATGAGGCATTGAGATAAGACTTTCAAGATCCGCAACTGATTAAACAAGATGCAATTTGTATATTTACCATCAGATCCACTAGCTTGGGTTCCTTGAACCAACAGCCACGTTTCCCTCTAACCAAATCAATCCTAATGATTCTAGTTCCATCAATTGCAATGGTGATCCAAAGGTAAGAACATTCCCTTCAGTGTTTGAACATAATTACATCAACAAGAGGGCATTTGGTCTAGTGGTACGATTCTCACTTCCAGTGCTACAAATCCCCAATTTTGATTCTCGGAATGCCCCCCTCCCATTGACTTTCTTACAGCCCAATTGGGATTAGATACTTTTCTATGTTTTTCGGTGCCAGATTTACAATAATTGCTACTCACATACACCTGGTTTTCAGGATCAGAATTTCAGATTTGGATGCTCCATCTTAATAATATTCCAATCACCTTATGCTATCACAGAATTCTACAGAAAATAAAAACAAACGCTTAAGTTAATAAAGTTACAGTAAAAGAGGTACCAAGAAAGGTTGCTTTGACCTTAAAGTTAGATTAACAGCAGAGCACTTGGTTCGGCGAAAAGATTCACGTTTATAAATCAAGTCAACTAAACAATTGGCCATCCCCTTGTAACGTAACAAGCTTTTGTAGGCTGAAAAATTCACATTTACTTTTTTTTATAGGCAGGCTAAGCTTTTTTCTTTCTATTTTATAGAGTTGCAGACGCTCAAAATACTCAGTCATTGTATTTACAGCACTATCATATATTGAAATATTGGTTTCTGTCTTCTGACTATATCACATACCTTTCAGGTCAGATGATATAGATTTTCAGAAACATTCCAACCAGATAAACATCAAATGCTAAGAGTTTTTTTCCAAGAATGAGCTGCAAGGAACAGAAAAAGTATCACCCAAGTTAAATAACGTTCAGTAAACATACAAACCAACTGAAATTCAAAGACTAATTCTTCAAATGAACAATGAAGTACATCAACAGATGGGCATTTGGTCTAGTGGTATGATTCTCGCTTTGGGTGCGAGAGGTCCCGAGTTCGATTCTCGGAATGCCCCAATTAACTTTTCCAACAGAGTATGTTGTGAATTCGCTCTAAATTTTATTGTTACAGATAATTGTATCCTATGATTCCATTCTTCCAAAGATCATGTAACCTAAACGATTTACCAGTCCCTAGAACTTTCACCATCAGTTAAACTACGAAAATCACTGCCACATACTAATCCAAGCGTTTGAAGTATCGAAAACTTACCTCTACTTTTGTTTACAGGCTAGTAAAGAGTTTTTTGCAGGAGGTTGTGTTATGGGTTTTAGAGGGAGTTAAAGGATCCTTATAAAAAAAAATCTCAAGTCTGTATTTTCAGCACCATCATATATTGGTTTCGGTATTCTGACTGTATAACATACCTTTATTTTCAGGTCAGATGAATTATATCTGCGCACCAAAAAACACTCTTCTTAAAACATTCCATTCACATAAACATCAAATGCTGGCAGTTTCTTCAACAATGAGGTGCAAAACAAAACACAAAAAAATGAACAAATGAACACATACACGATAAGGGAAAGTGGATTTCAAAAACAGGAGGCTCAAATGAACAATTGAATTACTTCAACAGATGGGCATTTGATCTAGTGGTATGATTCTCGCTTTGGGTGCGAGAGGTCCCGAGTTCCATTCTTGGAACTAATTTTGAAAATTTGTTCTAAAACCCAGGAAAAAGCAACGTGAAAACAAAATGCATATTTTATTTTTGTTTTATAAAATCCTGATTATGAAATACGAAAATTTTAAAAATGCACACTTAATATTTTAAGAACTAAATTCTACACTGATCAGAATGTGACTATTTAAAATTGTATCCAAAGGCCATAACCTGCGCACTTTGCATCAGATCTTAGACATTAAAAATATCTTACGACTTTCAATACTGATTGTGTGCTAAAAGTCAATCACAGAAACAAGATCCAAGTTGTATCCATTTCAGAAATTGTTTTAGTCTCATTACATGAAACTTTGGTTCTTAACCTGAACTACATTAGTACCAGGGCATTTGGTCTAGTGGTATGATTCTCGCTTTGGGTGCGAGAGGTCCCGAGTTCGATTCTCGGAATGCCCCATTGACATTTTCAGCAGTGTATGTTTTAAATGCAGCTAAGTTTTTTTTACTGACAATTCTTTCTATGGTGCATATCATCAGGTTAGTGTTCAACTATAAGATTAACCAGTCCTAGAATTTCACCATCAGTAACAACTTAAGGGATACTTGTTTTTCCAGCATTTTCATATATTCAGATATTGGTTTCTATATATAGTTTATTTTATGACATACCTTTACTTATAGGTCAGAGGTTCGAGATTTGCACAAAAGTGAACTCTTCTTGAGCCATTCTAACCACACAACATCAAACACCCCCTCGCTCCTACAACGCAAATGGTGCAGTTTATTCAATAATGAGCTCATGAAACAGAAAAAGTAA